TGGGGGGAAAAGAGAAGGCGTGGGAGGTGCTGCGAAAGTCAAACAGTGTTCCTTGTGGGTCAAAAAACCACTTGAAGTAGCAAGAATTGTCCCAGTGCTGCTCTGTGTTTGCAAACAAGATTTTCAACTAGCCCTTGAGACCTATTTAGCCTGTAATAAAAGCAGGGCCGCTGTTTTGGTGCAAAGATTACCTCAATGTTTTTAGCAGAAGCGATACGGGAACTAGACTTTCTTACACTAAAAGAGCTCAGAAATGTCTCTTTTATCTTCCCATTTGGAAACCTGAACTGCAGTGGAGTTTCACAGGATTATTTTATTTACTCTATCTCCTATAGCACAGCTATTTCTGGCTGACTGTCTGGCTATTGCTATTAAACTGGTCTCATTTTGCTTCTCATCCAACCTGCTTTGCTTCGAGAGCTCAAGGGAAGGCAGCAATAGCAATAAGCCACGAGCTGGAGTTTGCATTGCCTCTTGATTACAAGAGACACATAAAAAGTGCCAATGAAAACTCAGTGTGTTCCATGCAGTCACTGATCTTTCCGCGCCGTCAGGAAACACTCAACATGGAGCCCCATCAAGGACCGACTGTTGGGGAAAGAAAAGCGTAATTTGGCGCAGAAACTCTGTTAACCCTTCCTACTGTCCTTTCCAGCCTAATGCCACGGCGCTCTCCAGCCCGTTGGGGAAATCCAAACGATTACCCAGAAGAGATGGAAGAAGATCCTCATCTATTGCACGACAAGCACCTCGAGCATCCCCCAGCATAACAAGCTATGACCATAATTAATACTGCGTGTCACAGTCCTGGATGTTAAGGACTATGATTTGCAAATTTAAAGCATCTCTGTGTCAAACACTCTCAACTTCAGGGTGATGGGAAAAGTAGACCCTGTGCCTTTAAGGCAACATCTTTGAATGCTACCATCATCAAGGATTGCCTTCATTTCTTGGTAATTACAGCTAGCACAGTGGAATATGTGTTCTTCTTTCCTGAATACAGCCATATGGTAAGTCAAACTGAGGCCAGTGCTCGCTTCCCACACAGCTGATTCCCTTCTTCCTCTCCAGAAGGTGTTTGCACTAGGGGAGCCAACTGACGGTCTCTTCTGAAGAAAACCCCACTCTGACCTCATGCACACTGCGGTGTCCCAACCTCTGGATCAGGAGACACGGGCAGAAGATTCATGAGGAGAGTTGGACATTAATCCAATAGCTGAAAGTTACTCAGCTTTGCAAGGAAAGTCTAAATCACGAGCTCTCCCAGTGGCTCTTGATCAGGAACTATAGACATCCAACCTAACTCAGCGCTCCCCTTTTGCCACAGGCTCTGGAAACGTTCTGCAGTACCTACCTACAGCCACCTACATCACCAACAAACCCTCAGTCTGTTGAACACTGAAATGGTCGGCGTGGCCAGTTCATCTGATTAAACTTCTCGCTTCCCAACACCAGAAAATAATTCAGTGGTGACATTAGGAAGTGACTGGTGCTGTCTCTGACAGCAAAATCTAAGCCAAAGAGATTTATTTGTCAAGCTCGGAAACCCATTTTCATTGTGAATATTCTCCCACACAAGTTGCTTTGCAAGACGTTTGCCAGGAACGAAAGCTGGTGGCCACAGTGTCAGCTTCTCCACCTGCTGCTACTGCTCTTATTCATGCAGTCCTCGTAAATCTTAGTGCAAGATTCCTGCTTGGAAGACAGACGTGAATGTACCCACCCTGGCAGAGATAACATCTGTCAAGCTCATTTGAATGCGGCCGTTCCTAATTACTCATTTTCACAAACGAGGTCTCTGTCTGGAGTCCCACCAGCGATCCGAGGTGTGGTGGTCATGGAAATGACACCAAGGGTAACCACCAACAGGTAACCAAGGTGAGCAGGACGTGCAGATAACTGCAGCGAGGAGTGGGAGATCTTGTCTGAAACAATGCTTCTTGTCTCGAGCCTCTCAGGATAGCTAGCTTGTTTTCACCAAACTAAAGTCTCTGTGCTAAGTTTAAATAAGGAATTGGTTTCAGAACCTTATTTCTATTAGAAATCTCTTTTGACCAATAAGGAGGTAAAATTCAACCATTACAATTCAAAAATAAATGTATTCTAAAATAGACTGTGTCATGATTAAGGATGTATCATACCTACTGATTTATTATATGTGAAGAAAACCCACATAATGCAGAAGATTTTCTGAAGAGGAAGATTCACTGAGATGTGCCATCGTAAGTGGTGCCAAAGCTGGAAGTTTTGATCAGGCTCATTGACTAAACCAAACACAGGTCAGGCTGCCCATGATTTTCTCCCTGGCTGTGTCTGGAGCACGAGGGGTGCTGTTCAGCCTGCTGCTTTGGAAACCTCTGAAGGACTTTATGTCCCTGTACACATGGCAGAGGAACTGGCAGCTGCGGACCAGTCTGAACTCTAAGACCTTCTGGAAATCTCAACCTTTCCCTTCTGGACTCGGACAACTCCAATTCCCTGAGGGTTTGCTGAAGTGGGACATGAAAGCATACTGCGAGCTCCGGCCACTCCCGAGCACTTCAACTCCGGTGACGGGCCCCAGGCTGTGCTGCGGAGGACCCCAGGACACGGTGCTCTGCCCAGCCCTGGCCAGGCAGGGCTGGAGCACCAGCACCCCTGCAGACCCGCTGCCGTCTCCCTGCTCCTGGGGATGCCTGGGCCATATTTGATATCCCTCGGAGAACAATTTTGAAGCCTGGGGGAAGGAAGGCTGGCGCCAGCTTCCTGCACCATGATATAAATGATGCTTCGCCAAGAAAGCCCAGGATACAGGGCTCGGGCTCTAAAGGAGTGGTTATCCTGCTGGATGGCTGCCTGCTGGGATCTGTAACAGCAAAGCCTGACACAGGGTCAAGACAACACAGGCTATAAATCATCCAGATTTACTTTATATAGGATGTGGGATACCAAAATGTGAGCTAACACTCCTCTGACTTCCATTCTCGGACAGTCTTCCTTAATAATGTTCTAGGAAATCATTAACAAGATGGGAGAGTCCAGCTGTAAGCCCATCTCCTCCCCCAGCAATCTGAAAAACAACAACTGCAGTTCGATAGCGGAAAAAGAGATGCAGAAGGAGAACCTGCAGTGAGGTATGAACCCTGAGACCACCCTCTGCCCTGTCACCCTGCAGCTCGGTGGGCACACTGTCCCACAAGACCTCGGCTAGTGGCACAAGAGCCTGCCAGATGCAGCCATGTAGCCAGTCTCTGCCCGGAAGACAGACCCAGACCACCGTGCTGTCCCCCAGCTGAAAGCTGCAGGGTGTTTTCCTGTGAAGGCGTCTCTTGTGCAGCATTGCCACACACACACCACAAAACACCTTTTGAATACAGAAGGGAAGAGGGCAGCGTCCCACTGACGATGCTTGCATACCGACACAATCTCTGGAGCCCCCAGCAGCCTGCTGTGAATTGCTGAACGCTCTCCGCTCCTACTGATGACCACGGAAATCCCAGCTCTGATTTTCCCAGGAGCTAAGGGAATGCTCAGTACCTCTCTCAATCAAACCCAGTGCCAGCCAAACTGGATGCTGCCTTATGAATCAGAAATTCAGGGTCACAATCAAAGTGTAGGAGGTCAAGATTAAAAGTTAAACCCAGCTGCGTGCTTCCAGACTCATTCTGACGGTCCTCCCAACATCCGACCTCGTTACTGCTGCTCTGTGGTTATTTTTTTTTAACGGAGCTGGGAAAGAATTAAAAGGCACAGCAACAAGGAGGGGAAAAAAAATAAGCACATGCATTCCAGAAGGCAAAATTTCAGTCAACCATGACTCAGGAGAAGAAAGTGCCACCCACTGAACTGCACAGGTCGCTGCTCCGCGGTAGCGGGCAGTGATGCTGCGGTGAGTCAGGAGCCACCCACACCCCCACCCACGCTGCTTCCTGCAGCGCGGGGCACTCCTCGGAGGGCTGCCACACGGCGTGGGTCTCACCCAACCCTTCCTCAGCATATGAGATGCGACAGGAACACAGCCCTGGTGCGTTTGGCCAGAGACATCCGCAGCTCGCCCTCGCTCCCCCTTGAAGCTGGTCCAGGGGACTGCCCCTGCCCAGCTGTCCCTACAGCTGCAGTGAAAATTCCAGCGAATCCCGGTCTGTCAGAAAACAGAGGCATCCGGGACTTATGAATTCTGTCACTTCACTTCAAACTGTTGTGATGAGCTGGGATCACCTTAGCGGGACTACAGCAATACAGCTATGATGATGCTGCTTAACAGAGTTGCTCTGAAACACAGTTCATTTGCTGCTATTAATCACAGGATGGTTTGGGTGGGAAGGGACCTTAAAGCCCCCCCAGCCCCACCCCCTGCCAACGGCAGGGACACCTTCCATAGCCCAGGTTGCTCCAAGCCTCATCCAGCCTGGCCTTGGACACTCCCAGGGATGGGGCATCCACAGTTTGGTCACTACTCTTCACTACCTTTCTTGACCCTCATGATGGGTTTCATGGCAGAGATGCCCTGTAAATCCAGCACAGCAGCTACACGAAGATGCAGCTCAGAAGGCGTTTTGCCGGCTGGCAGCACACAAACACACATACCCTGCTACCCACCAGGCTGCAGCCCGGGATTTCTTTGAAAGGCAAGGATCATCTTCTTAATGCAGCAACTGAGCTGCCTGCCCAAGCGCCAGGCTTCACAGCTCACACAGAAGTTCTAGGACAATCTAATCCAGATCATATGCTGCAGCCAAAACCCAAAAGCAGAAGCGAGGCAACGAGCCAAACGGGGCACATGAGAAAAAGGCACGAAATGAGCAAGTGGATTTGCTAGAAGCATAAAGACCCCTCGGTCGGTATACTCACCATCCTGTAATTCAGTATTTCTAGCACGTGGATTGCCCTTCCGCAGCGCTACCCATGTCCTCTTCTGCACGTGTAGCCAACAGCCACCTTGCCCTAAAAACCCCTTTGGACTGGAAAGCCTGTCCGCAGCGTGTCCTTAGCCGTGCTGCTTTCTCCCTGGATGTCCTTACCTTCTTGCAGAGAACCATCTGGTGATCAAAGAGAAAGAAAACACGCTGCTGGTTCCGTCCATAAGGCTGGTAAATCCAGGACATCTCTCCCGTGTAGATCAACTCCGAGCTGCGGTCCAAGATATCGTCTCCCTAGAGGGCACAGAGAACGAGGCCGCGTGAACCGCCGCTCCCAGCCAGGGCCGTGGATACGTTGCTCATTGCAGGATGGGGAGAAGCAACAAGTAAATAAGGTTTGGGCCATTCTGCAGCTCTCAAACCACCTCTCATCTGACTTCAGGCCAGAAACTGGAGATGGGGGCTAATGCTGAAGGAAGGGACATAAACGCAGCAGGTGTGGACACTCGGTTCACACTGCAGTGAGGGAAGAGCTGCTCCAGACGCTGTCCCTGCTCCCCCCTTTCCAGGTACCCCAGACCCCAGGTCTCGCTGCAGGTGCTGGTGGCATCCTGAGAGAGAAGCTCCTTCCTGCTGCCCGTGAAGGAGCCACTTCGTATTCAGGGTAACAAATTCCCTGGCACTCCCTCCCCTCCAAAGAGCATCCCAAAGCACGTCTCCTCCCGACATCTCAGGCCAGCTACCGGAGTCATCTACACCGGGATATCAATTCCCCCAGCCCTGAGGCTGCCAAACCTCACCCCTCCAGACTGCTTCCTCTCTTCCCACTCATTCAGGCAATTCCAGTCCCTTCTCCCACAGCTCATTAGAGTTCCCCATCTCCAAAAAACTGTCAGGACGACCCCAGCTCCTCTGGCAGCCGCCAGCCCCCCCGGCTGGCAAGGCCTCCCCGGCCAGCTGCCAGAATGCCCTCACCCTTTCTCTGCCTCCGGCTAACGCTTGTTTTCCTCTCCCATTTTTTTTTAAGGATTCATGAGCAGATGGTCTTGAAAACACAGTGCTCCCTCTCCCACTCTCCGAGAGAACAAATGCAGTCACCCTCCACTAATTGGGATGAGCTGGACTTTTTAAAAAGTTAATTAAAATCTATTTATTAAAAATGGGTGAATCCACCACCACCTGCCCTGTGGGCATCTCGGTGCATCTCTCCCTCCGAAACACCACAGACTTCAGCTGAAAGGTAAGGAGCAGGATTCAGGAGCAAGTGAGAGAAAAGCATGTTTGCCTTTCTTTTTGGCTCTGAAACTAGTGCAGTTCTGGCTTTGATGCCAAACTAGAACCAATTTCTGGGACAAGACCATCCCAAAATCTCAGCAAACAGCTTGCAAAGGCTCAGCCAGCCACGGGGCCATCTAGACAGACATGATTTTCTGGTACCACTTACACCTGCAGGTGCCAAAGCAACCAAGAGTCATCCCCATTCCTAATTTCTTGGTGAGGATTTCAGACTGCTGTTCAGGTAAATGTGTAATTAACCTCTCAGCATTGATTGGAAGCGACTGCCTGAGTCCCTGGGCCCTGTGACAACAGCAACTTCATTAAGTTGCTGCATCATCATGCTGCAGAACAGACTTTCAAATCGCCTGAGCGAGGTATCTATCCACCTCTCTGTCTCACTTTGGTGGCTGTGGTATCTGAAGGCCTGATTAGGGAAAAAAAACCCTCCCGGGAACACAGAGGGTCGTTCCAGAAGGGATGGGCCGTGCATCATGCAGCGTCTCAAGAGTGGGGTGTCAGGGTCCTATTTCAGCCGTGGTACCTCCTGGCCAGAATCCGGGGACCCGCGTGCTGCTGCGACGGCTGAGCTGTACGTGAGCCCCTACACCCTCAGGTGTAAGAAATCTCTGAGGAAAACACACCAGGCTCCAGAAACTGCGGGCTTTCCTGGCTACACGAGCTTCTCCGGAGAAGATTCAAACAAGCCTATAGATGGGAGCTTTCATGAGAGGGGGCGAGCCTAGGAGAGGCTGGCTGCTAAAAATAGAAACCCAGTTTTGTCTTCCACTCCTGTGGTAGCATCTCAAGCCTGAGGACACGCAGAGGACTCTGTAAACACTTCTACTTGATTAGCTGAATCCAAACCGTGTAGTCCCTGCTAGCAATATAAAACAAAAAAATTCAGATCTGAAATGATAGGATTTGTACTCCAGTTCTTACGCTGGGAAAACAATTTGCATATACAGTCTATAGGCCAGAAATAGATTATTTCCAATGCTGGCTTAGCAAATTTAGAAATATACATTGCAAATAGTTTTGGACTAGCACACGGCTGGCCAGCCTTCAGCCCCCAAGAGCAGCATCTCCATGGCCCTGCCTTTCCTCAAGCCCGGGGCTGCGGCAGCAATACACCAGCGTGGTCGTGCTGCCAAAGCCGCCTCGAGCAGACACGATGAACCTCAAAAGGCATTTTTCTTTCCCCCGACACAGTTATAGCACCTCTTTGTTCTGCTAGTGGAGCATCCCTACTGGGGGGCTCACGAGGTCGGTTGCAGGGTGGCGGGCAAGGAGGGGACCAAAAGCGTTTGCTTTTCTGCTCCACTGCCAACACGCCCACCCCAGCATGCCTCCACGGGTCCTGACTTGGGGCTGGCTTTCCGCAGTGCCTCTCCCAGGCTTTCTCTAAAGCCAATCCTAGACCTAGACCCCTCCAATCCTGTACAAAACACAGGGGAAAAATTTATTTTACTCTTCCATTTTTTTCCAAGCAAGTCCTAGAGAGGCTGGATCATCTGTGTCCTTCTGTAAGTTAAGAGAAATACTCCTAAAAAAGGAAGAGGCTGAACTTTTAGTTACTCTGAACTAGCTGAACTCTGAACATCCCACTGACCTCAGCAGGGCACAGCAGCAAAATGGCCAAGAGACCAGATGACCTCCTGAGGCCTCTTCCAACCCGAGTTATCTGATAAACCCCTAATAAAACCCCTCAGCCCTCGGCAGCCTGCATCAAGGGTTTGCACTGCGCATCCTGCTACACACCACGGGCAGCGAGAAGAAAGCCGACTCCTCTTTCCTTCATGCAGGCGCGGGCAGAGTCCCGCTACTGCGTGTGCCGTCATGGGAGCAGAAGGCCACCCGGATCTAGGCTGGACGTGTGCTTCACGCTCCCTCGAGCTTGCCAGAGCTAGGATGACATACCAAGTCCCAGGGCTAATGCCGACTGTCACAGCAGAGGGGCAGCTCTGCTGATGCTACGGGAAGAGGTCAACGATCGGCCCCTCAGTTCTGCTGTAGGTGACCACCAGGTTCTGTAACAAGGAACTGGGAGGAACCAAAGGGTTTTTACTAGTATCATGGAAGAAATGCTGTTGGGAGCACCAACATAACAAGGAAGGACATGGTGCTGCGAGCTGCAGCTCATTACACCTCCCAGCCTGCCCCGCTCCTTCTTCCCATGAGCAATCCCTGAGCAGACGCTGTCCCGGGCTCAGAAATGCTCACCAGCCGTCGGACCCGCTCCCCTGCGCCCCAGCCCACCCCCTGACACGGCCCTTTGCTGTCACTGCTGGGCACACAATCCCCTTCACTAGTTAACATTCAGCAAGCAGGGCTCTCTTCTGCCTGACACTGCTGTTCTTTAATTAGAGATTGACAGGCTGATTAGCACTCTGGGCTACAGAAAGATCAGAAAAAGGAAAGCGAGAGAAATGTTGTCCTTTTCATCAGGCTCATTTTTTGATACCTTCTGTTGCTGGGGAGAGGGGGGAAAAAAAAAAAAAAGGAGGGAAAAAAAAGAAGAAGGAAAAAAAAAAAAAATAAAAAGAAGGATCTTTTTCAGTCCCTGATGTGATTTTTTTTTCCCCAGGAGGATTTCTCATCAGGCTGTCCTCACTCTGAAACAGCACGTCGGTTGCACGCCTCTTTTTCCCATGTCATTCTTGGATTCAGTGATGTAGTATTAGGCTGAGGCCAGCTATTATATATTACATAATTAAGGGCACCCAGTCTTGATTTAAAGGACCCGTAAATAACAAGAACGGGAAGAAATTTTAAAGAACAGTGTTCATTATATTTTTCAATTATATATATTTGTTCCTTCAAGTAAATTTACTACTCTTGAAACCTGCCAAAGCAGCAACCTGCAGGAATCTTTGGTAGAAATACCTAACTATCTACATAAACCAAAGTAATCTGTTTAACTAGCAAGTTAAAAATAATCCAGGCTGATGAGCAAGGCCCTCTCCTGTGCCAAACATCCCACCACCGGCTTGGGGATCACCACAGATCCCCTCCCAGGAATGGGTGCTCGCTCCTCCGGTTTCAATGGGTACAAATTGAAATCAGGGAGGGTTAGATTAGATATCAGGAAGAAATTCTTCACAGAGAGGGTGGTGAGGCACTGGGACAGGTTGCCCAGAGATGTTGTGGATGCCCCATCCCTGGATGTCTTCAAGGCCAGGCTGGATGAGGCTTTGAGCAACCTGGTCTAGTGGAAGGTGTCCCTGCCCATGGCAGGGGGGTTGGAACTAGATGATCTTTAAGGTCCCTTCCAACCCAAACCATTCTATGATTCTAAAGAGGGCAGGAGCGTACGGCTCCTTCGCTCCCGCTGCCCCACGCGTGTGCCTGTAAATGCAGCGCTGCCCAAGGGACCGAGAAACGATGACGGGCTCTGTGGAAATAACCTCTCTGCAGCACTGCCGTGCGTGTGTACACGTAGATATTCCCCACTAACTTTTGAGGGCTGTAACTCTCTTGCGGAGGGCAAGAGCACGAGCAAGGACCGAGTGCAGAACAGCTGCCGAGTCTGATCCCAAGGAGACTTTGCAGGCTACGCTCCCGCTAACTTTGTGCGCCGGTTCTGCCTGCCTGCCTTTAAATGGGACTGTTTTGATCTGAGGGTATTTAACTACAAGGAAGGGGATGACACTGAGTGAAGGGAAACAGAGGTTGAACGTCAGGAAACACTTCATAAGGAGGAGAGCGCTCAGACACTGAAAGGTCTCAGCAGGAGGTGGTGGAAGCCCTACATTCTGCGCCGTTAACAACTGAAAGGACAAAAGGCACTAGAGAATTCGGTGTAGGCAGGGGCAGCACCTCTCCAGGTCTGTTTATATATTGGAAATTCAGGTTACAAAATAAAGAAGTGAGTCACACATGGCAACAGTCCAATCCAGGCTTTCCAGTCAAGACCACGCTCCTACAAATTATACAGGAGCACATTTCAAAGTGATGGGGATTATTTCTAATTTACAGCAGTCAGTGAGATCAGAAACTTCCCTTAAGATTCTGCTCAGTCATTACTTGTATATGGAGCTGCCAAAGCTGCCAATAATTCCTTAAGACTTCCCGGCCTGGCTGCCACAGCACGCTCATCAGCTGCCACGAGTCAGGCCACCCTTGCTTGGTCCCATTTGCAATTTAAACCATCAGACCCTGCCGACCTGACTTCTTGGAGAAAAAAATCTGGCTTTGGTTAACTCAAGGATATTCACATTTTTTCAAATGCTGACCCTGAAAATTCACCTTCACGGGGCCATGCAGAAGATTTTGAGGGATAAAAGTGATTCCTGAAACACACAGGCACAACTCCACGGGATTCAGTAAGATCCCTTCTGCTTAAATTAGCCCTGACTTCTGTCTGTTTGCAAGAAAACGTGTACACACGCTTTGTATACCAGAACGTTCCAAATACTCACTACGTACATTTTGTTTGGTTCAGATTTTTTCTTCTTCTTTAAAAATCTCTTTGCAACATCTCATCACAAAACTTGGGTAAATTTAGAAATGAAAATGCAGCTTCAAATCAGAGAGTCAACATCGTTAGTCTGGAGATGCTGAGGAAAAACAGGCATTTCTCCAAATGAAAGATTTCCACATGCTTAAACATTCAGAATTGGTTGCTGCTGAAATAATTTACCAAGTGCAACACAGTGGGAATCAGGGATTATCTCAGCCTTGTGCCCTGGCTGGATTTCTGGTGAAAAAGTCTCAACTGGTATTTTTTTTTTCTCCTATTTCCTGCTTTCTTGTACTTAGTGTTTTTTCCAGATTGTCTCTAGGAAGACTGTGCTGTACACCCCATGCTGTCATTGCTCATTTGCACTGCTGTGCAAATGAGATCAGGAGGCCACTGTGACACACAGAGGGACAGAGAGAGCACTTTTAGGGTACAGACTCTTAACCAGAGCAAGAATAGGACCACAGCAAGATGGGAGAGCAACGCTGTAGGTTCCTCTCTCTGTTTCAGTGAGCACTTAATATAAACTGGATTAGCAACCAGTTGACAACAGGTCACTCGCCCAGCTGAGTGTCCTCCAGCAAAGACAAACTGGGAGTCGTGGTCATCTCCTCTCTGACCCAGACAATAAAGGCACACTCCCTACAGACTGGAAGAAGCCAGGGAGACATACCAAGAAATCCCTCTTCTACTCCACAACTGCCTGTGTGTAGGAGATGAGGGCTTCAGCCCCTACAGACGGAGTAAGAAATCAACCCCTGATGTCCTGGGAGACTCGTCCCACAGAGAGACATCAGCTGAGAGGGGGTTTTTTTAGAGGTTAGCAGCTGGGGTTTGCAATGCCTGAAGAGAGTATTTGCCCAAAGCTAGGACAGATCCAAGCACCTGGCACTACGTTTGATTTCTCACACCTCTTCCTGCATTATACTACAATTAACTGTGGAGTATTTCAGGGTTTTGCGCATCCTTCTGGCCATTGAGCTAGGACAGATCCAAGCACCTGGTGCTACGTTTGATTTCTCACACCTCCTCCTGCATTATACTACAATTAACTGCGGAATATTTTGGGGTTTTGCGCATCCTTCTGGCCATTACATGGACATCTGTGAAATGAGGCCTGGACCTGATGATGCAGAAGTTACTGTAGAGGAAAAAATCAGTGAAGTCCTCTAGCTCTCATCCTATAGTGTTCTCATCACAACCCTATGACTCAAAATACAAAATAAAAATGGGAAGAAGGGTGTTTTTGCTTTGAATGAGGGCAGTAGCTGTACTGCCATTGGATCTCTGAGTGGTAGCAACAGCAGGTTTTGCTGTATTATGAGAAGCCGAAGGATGCTGCTGCAATATTGTGCTTAAAATTTGGAATGGTTGAAAAAAAAAAAGCCTGGAGGAATGATTTGGCAAGTTCCTGAGGATAGGATGGAGATAAACAATGGGTACTGCTAGGCAGGAATGAACTATCAAGGATATGGCTAAAGCTAGGCAGGAATGAATTATCAAGGATATAGCTAAATAAAAATGAATTATCAACAGAGCTAATGGAAGAGACAAAGAAACGGCTCTTCCATAGATCCAATGTGGAGGTCACCTTGGCTTTCCTCTCACACATGAATATTCACTGACTTGGAATTGATCTGTCCTTAATCTAGACTTATTTACAACGAGGGTCTCGGCATTTCTTACAAGGACACACACTAGCTCATCACATGGAATATACTGAAGGCTGAAGAGCTATCCGAGGGTCCTGTGCCTCCTTCAGATCAGCTTTCTAACTCTGAAAATGACCCTGTGTGCCAGTGAGAGAGGTTTCTTCGCAGTAAACAACAATAAAACAATCAAGGAAATCATCTGCATTCTCTGCTCACAGCCAGCCATCATTTAAGAACCAGCTATGATTGCTGAATTTATATGTTTTATCTGGAGACCCAGGGTTGAATCCAACCTTCATTACAGCAATGAAACCAATTCAGTCAAGGGGATACACAACTAGAAAGGGGTGCACCCATATTTCTCTCCCTCTCCTCCCATCCTTCCTAGATCCTTTCCAGAAAAAACTAATTAGAGGATTAATACATCTTTCCCATACGCTAATTTACATAGTACGATCCCACTGAACCGAATGTGGAGTTATTCCAGACCTTGACTGTGAGGAAGAGGAAAAGCTGCTCCATCGCTCCAAGTATCTACGCGCGAAACACGCGGAACGATGACAACACAGACTTTTACAGAAACATTTGTCCTCAATCTGCTTCAAAACCCCTATTTACAAAAAACATTCATAAAATGATTTTTTTAAAAATCAGGGATGAAAAGGAGAACGTTTTAGTATGGCTGGTTTTTAAACACTTGGCAAAAACGTAGGAGATGGAAGGCGCGGTAGTGAGAGTCTCTCTGCTGACTCTGCCTTGCCTGTGTTTCTCAGCTCCTTAAATCACCACACACAGGGTTGGTTCAGATGCAGTAGTGAGAGTCCCTCTGCTGACTTCGCCTTGCCTCCTTAAATACAGGATCACCACACACAGGGTTGGTTCAGAAACATCTTTAAGTGGGTACTCATTTTAAATGTGCAAACAGCATCTCTAACTTCAGTTTAATGTTTGGGCTTTTAGTCATAAAGCAACCACCTGAAGGGTTTTCTCCCTTTTCTTAACCCGTCACATTTTCTAGGGCTTTTTGCTACGTCTTTCCCAACGACAAAGCACAGAGCCAGAATGCACAGAGCTTGATCCAAATCTCACTTGCTCCTGGGACAACAGCATTGCAAAAGGTACTCCAGATTCCCACTGATGAAACTGGACCCTGGATTTTCTTCACAACACCATTAATGTTTTACATCTTAAGTACCCCCCCCTAAAGCCTGTAAATCTCTTTTCTGTCCCAAGACTAAGTTGTGTGAAATAAACTGTATGGTCTTGCATTATTCAACCACTGCACGGAATTTACTTTTTCCAGGTTTATAGCACCTAAACGAGGGCCGAGCGCTTGCTGTACCTCCCAGTCCAGAACGGAAGCCTGCCACTGAGCTATTTTGTCAATGTTCTCCAACCTCCGCTTCCGCTCGTTGATCTGCAGGGTCACGTTCCTCATGACGGCGAGAGCAGCAGCCACGTATCTGTAGTCACTGTCAAACACAAAAGAAAAGCCCATAAAGCAGAGCCCGACGTGCAGCGGAGAGGCACGGGGGTCTGTCGTGAGCAGCAGCATAATCTCACCATCCTTCGGGAGGGAGGTGCGGGTGGGTTTGCCGCTCATTACCATGACACCACGTTCAGTACAGCCTGGCCGCTACCAACCCAACGGACAACAGCTGTGAATATTGCTGCTGAAAGCCATAAGAGCATCCTAAAAGAAAGTCTGAGCACGTTTATAGCCTGTGTCTCCAGCCTGGACTTTTCCCTTTTTAAACCAAACGTTGGAAATGCTTTTCGCCCAGACACAGAGCCGGAGCGCCTTCCAAGCCTTAAGGTGACTCTGGGAGTGGCACAGAGCGTTTGTCCCATGGCATTCCCTCCTACTGCAGACTTCAGTGAGCAAATCAAAGGAGTTCTTCCTTTTTTTCTGGACAGGCCTGCGAGTGTAATAACAAAGAGTGAAAAGAGCCTCCCGCCAGGGCCAGCGAAGACGATGATCAGTCTCTTCAATCAGTGATGGTGAAATCGATGGTAATGATTTCCGCCCTCTGCCTCCTTTTCCATTCCAAGGAACCTTAATGTTCATTTCAGTCGGAAAGACAGGCAAGGCCAGCTGCCATAATGCCACCATAATATATTATTAACTTAAGGGTTGATATTGATTGCTGACTAATGAGGAAAACTGTGATCTTGGGCAGCTGCATGGGGAATGGCCTTATTGATTATTGCTAAGAATTGCACTGGTGACAGCTAAAATAGGGGTGAATGCTGTGAATTAGATACATTTCCCCATGTCATTCAAACAGGATAAATATTAAGAAACAATCACAACATGATATACAACAGAATATTACATGCTATTTTGCCATCCTTTCTTGGATGAAATCTCGAGATGCGTTTTCAATTTTTATTCAATTCTTACGTGAAAATTCTAGATGAGCGTAAAAAAAAAATCCTACATGCTCCAGAACATCAGGAGTGGTCCTTCAACAAAGTAAAGGAGAAGAGAGGATGGGCTGTCTGACATATCTGTCATGATACACGACGAAGAATTTCTTGTGCCATCTGTATGAAGGGAGCAACAGACACTAGCCTGGTCTATGTCCATGAGTTCTTGGAGGGAAATAGGGAAGTCACTATGGCCAGAAAGGAACTGTAGGGGTAGGGAGAGGCGTAGGGGTTAGCGACAGTCACCAACGATCTCCTAGCAATCACGCACACGCGAAGACGGGAGGCTAATGTCAGACCACCCTTCGCAGAGTCACCTCTTTCTCACGTAACGTGTTCATTCACTTGAACTCCAGCTCGGTTCTGCAGCAGGGAGGCTCAGGACATCAACAAGCTGCACTCAGGACCTTCAGATATTTAATTTATATTAAGCTGGAGTAAATCTTTAAGAGGTGAACAGATGTGGCTTTGTGAAAAATTCAAATGAACCAGTCTCAAAAACAATAAGCAATTGAAGGGACCAGGGCTCTGAGAACACCCCCATGCTTGCCTCCATGCGGAGTGGGCCGGTGCCAATCAAGCTGGGTTTTATCTTGGTAATGCTAATTCACTAATTCTAACGTTCTGTTTGAAGAGAAAACCCCATGAACATTTTTCTTTCACGCAGTAATGAAGAAAGAGTCGTGACTGAACTTTTTGGGCTCCTAGCCCAGGTCTGTGGCAGAGCTGGCAAAAACTTCTAAGAAAAAAATAACAGAAGCAAAGCATTTAGCCAGTGAAATAATAATAGGATAGCACTAACTATGAAATTAAGGTAAATAAATTGTTTGTCAATTATACTGGGGCTGCAATGACCTCTTCCCAGTGCTCAAGCAGAGTGCAAGTCTAGGCTCTTGCCAAGTATCACATGCTAACTTGGGGGAAAGTGGTCAGGTTCCTGGTTTCAGCTCTGTCATCCTGACCTGGCACAGGGAAGATACACAGCACCACAAGGACGACATGAGTGAAGAAATTAAGTATATACAGATATATAAAATGCCCCACTGTTAGATGAAGCCAACGTATTTGCTTTCCCTGGGACTCCTGGTCCTTTCTGAGTTTTGCATTACTCCGTGAATGGTTTCATTGATTTAAGCAGTATTTTCTACTTACTAAATTCTAATCAGAGTGCCTAAGAGACTCCTAATCCAGCCAGTGATGAGCCTGATTTCCTTGGGAGTATTAGTCCACTCCGTAATTTTTCAGATTCTGTTTCAGACTGGCAATCTAACTGCGAGCACTGCCCAACCACAAATGCGTGAGGACAACTCGCCGCCTGAGTAACGGGCCCAGCTGAAGCTCCCGGGGCTTCTCCAGTTCCCTCGTTTATAGCTGACCCCGACGGTATTCCACCCTGCAGGGATGTGGCTCTTCCCTGTGTCCAATACTGTCACAACAGGGCATTCCCCAAGGATTATTTGCTTTTCCATGCTCAGGCTTTGCTCATCTCAGCCCTGATCCCAACGTCAGAATTACAGGAGCAGAAAATCGTTGTATTCCAGGCAGGAACCAGGGCAGCCTGGGGTTTCTGCACAGCCCCAATGCAGAATCATCTGCTGGTGCGTCAGACACCCTCTGCGCCTCATCCATGGCACTAAGCTTGTCTGGGATGCCAGCTGGGTGGCCTGGAGGATCGATCCCTCCCAAGTTCTCCGAAGGCTTGAATCGGAGGAGCTAGGCCCCAGGAAGCGTGGTATAACCCACCCATGTCTGCGTTGTAACGCCATCCCTCCATCAATAAACTCTCCAGGGGAACCCACACAAACAGAAGTGCCCCAGGGCTGAGAGGAGGCACGGGTCTGTTGCTGGCTCCGTGCAGGCAGGAGTTTCGTATGTGCACTGTTACGGCTTCAGGGGGCTTAGTCTTTACTTTGCAAGGCAAGCAAACATCCTGCTTCCCCTGCTCACAAGATGAAGAAACAAGAGAAACGAAGTGTCCATGGCTGTGTCCTATCACTGACACAACCCAGTAACAAGAGGTCTCGGCCTGAATCAACTAATGGTTGCTTAAGCACAGGAAAGGTCCGAGTCTCCTCAGAATATGACTATATCTGATTACTTAACAGTATGCTGATTCTAAAACATCCCGAAGGAAAAAGGCATGCACTCCCAAGATAATTCAACCCTTGTGCAATCACACTGTCCACATCCCCTTTGGTACTGCCACCAAACAACTCAGAGAAGGTAATCTTAAACACAGACTTCTTCTCTCTGAGGCTGCCTATGTCTTCCTGCTGCGAAGCCACATCTGAGTTCACACTGAAAGTACTGTGGGGACATCACATGGCTGGTAAGGAAAAAAGCCACAACATCTGGGATCCTAGAGCTGGTTTGTGATACCCTGATGTTCCCATGAGCCCACTCCAAGTCTGAGTTGGTCTCGTTATGCAGGGAAACCCAGAAATTGGGTCTGGAGCCAAATACATGTCCAAATTGGTAATTTTGAACTGGGCATTCAGCTAGTATGAATCAAACTCGTGAATCAGGTCACAGAAAATCAATGCATCTCTGCTCTTATCACATCTCTGCACTTTTAGGACTGGGTTTGGGGGGAAAAAAAAAGAAAAAATCAAGCACTTGCAGGAGTTTCTGAAACATCTGTGGTCTTTGTTGTTCTCCGAAGCAACTCCTTTCAAATGGGGTTCGGAAAAAGAAAGAAAACTGGCAAGGCAGGAGAAAATCTACTCTTAAGGGGCCTGATTTTTCATTCACCTTATTTTTATGGCAGTATATCACAAGTTATATCACAGGTACTATTCTCGATACACATTAGGTCAGAGATTAAGCTGATTGCTGATGAGCAGCAAAAGAGATCCTGGGAATTTTGGAAAGTAATCAAGCAGCTTGGTGCTCCTCTGAACCTAAACCCAGTGGCAAAACCAGACATGGAATCAGGCTAAAAAGCAGAGACGGTTCTGAATTCTCCCCAGAGCTCAGCATATACAGGTTTGAGTTGAGGCTCCTGTCCCTTTACTGGCTATGTGCTGAGATCCTTTTCAGGGTAAAGGAATGAGCCTTTCTGACCACGGAGTGCTGAGTAGGTAATTTTTCTAGTAGCATCAGAAAGTACATCCAAGGGTAATTAGTTCACATGTCTGATTATAACAGAGATGAGTTTGGCTCCTTTGAGAATCAGTGTTTTGAGAAGCTTTCTAACTGTCTGCTGAACATTTGCCCTGCTTCAATTTATACAAGATGTCATAAGAGAAGAGCCGGACAGAAAAATAACCCAACCCCAGTGTGCGTGCAGAGGTCAGGTAAAGAAGCAGCGAGCAAACTCCTCGCGTGTGCTAAGAGCGCGGCGTACCTGTGATCCTGCGCGGTGTACTTCAGTAGCTCTGCGAGCTGCAGGGGGTATTTGCAGATCTTCTGCACCGGCGTCAGAAGGAAACCGTCTATGGCAATATCAATCATCTGCTGCAACAGACGACATGCTTCGAAGAAATGCTGGTACCTGCTGTCTTTCATCAGCTTGGAAAGCTCCATGCATGCATCCAGATGATTGTTACAGTACTCCGAATAGATCCAGAAGCCATCTTGCTGTGAGAGGCAGGAGAGAGGAGCACACCTCAGGCAAGTGATGGGAGCAGTCAACCACCCGACTTGCCAACAAGAACATGTTTCAGCTGAAGAAGAAAGAATACCCCGAGCAGGAAGAGGAAGGACTGATCCTAGAGGACTTTTCCTGCTCGGAGGAGGTGCTGCATGGTCACTCTGGGGGAAAAGGGAAGAAGAGAGGAGCCTGCATATGGACCCATCGCTGAAGTCTCAGCAGGTACAGCGTGTGTTAAAGCAGACCCCTGCGCAGCGATGTGGGTGTTCCCAGTTTCAAATTGTGTGCTGGGGTTTTCTTTATAAAAGGTAAAGGTAGAATCAAGCAGACCCCTGCTTTGGTAACACAAGAAAAACCCCTTGTTATTTCTA